AGGGGTGTCATTATTATTATTATTATTAATTTGTTAACTTAAAGGTTCTTAAAAGCCGTGGATCAGTCTTTTTCTGTATAATTTTCGTGAAAATAAGATACTGGATGTAACAAAGTTCATAGTCACGGGAAGGAGGTGGGAACCGGCGAACATTTAAACAAAACTTTAATAATAAAATAAACACAAAATAGCGCGACAGCTCCTCGCGCACAAACAGAACCAAAACACAAAATAAAGTCCAGACCTGGTCCTCTCTCGTCCCTCCTCCTTTTATCCTTCCGGAGCTCCTCCGTGGGACTCGAGACCGGTGAGTGGCGCAGGTGTCGCGTATTAGCATTTACTCCACCGGCCTCTCTCCGTTCCCACGGCTCTTGGCCCTGCCCCTCTCGTCACATACCCCCATCGCCCCTCGCAGGCCGCGGGGTACTCACGAGACTGCGCTCTATCCCCCCCCCCCGGCGGAGCCGATCACGGTGGTTGCGGCGTACCTGGGGGTAAGGACAGACAGACGAGGTGAGAGAAAAGGAGACAGAAGGATGAGGAGAGACAGATACGAGAGAGGGGAGAGAGGAAAAATAAATAAATCTTGTTCCGGTTCCCATACACACTGCCGCTCGGCCCTCCACCAGCTGGGTAAACTCTTCCGGATGCCAGGCGGCAGCACTGGACAGCCCTCGGTGGACGGCCCGACACTCCTCCGCCGCCCGGTGGACGGCGACGGCTCCTCCGGATTCGGGCAGCCGGCAGGAGTCCCCCATTCCCTGCTCCTCCCCATCATGGTGGATGGTAGCAGGCTCCGGCCTCAGGCGAATGGCGGCGACTCCTCTGCTCCCTCACGGACTGCAGCCGTCCCTCCACAGCCCAGGCGGCCGCCGGCAGGAGCCCCCCATTCCCTGCTCCTCCCCATCATGGTGGATGGTAGCAGGCTCCGGCCTCAGGCGAATGGCGGCGACTCCTCTGCTCCCTCACGGACTGCAGCCGTCCCTCCACAGCCCAGGCGGCCGGTCATGACACCTGTCATGAGAAATCGAGTCCCCCCTCGAATTCGGGTCCACTTAGGACCCCGAGTGACCCCATTGGCTCAACGAACGTTTAATGGGTATTATTTTTAGCGCCTGATTACAGTTCCTGCAAAATCACGCTTTGATTTATGTCGTTTGAACTTCGTTATAATGACCATTAATGTCTTTTAAAGGGGTCATATGATGCTTTTTTAAAGATCATTATTTTGTGTATTTGGTGTAACAGAATATGTTGAC